ATGTTGAGTCTCTCATGGATTCCAACTAAGGTTGGCAGACTTGGTGGCATTTTACATACTAAGTCATATAATCAGTACTGAACACATCATTCTAGATTCTGTTTATGAACACTAACTCTAGAATGCTAACAGTTCTTTTAACCCAGGTTGTGGTTTGAGAACAAAACCTTTAATAACTAAATGTCTATATGTTGTTATGCTACATTAAATCAAAAGATAAACTTCCAGTGGGCTAGGGAGACTGCTCAGCAGTTAAGTGCTTCTTGCACAAGCATGAAGATCTGAGTTAGGATCTCCACTTAAGTGGCCCGGTGGTTATGCCATCTGTAATCCTAGCTTTGGGAAACAGAGGCAAGAGAATCCCAGAGGCTCACTATTCAGCCAGTCTAGCTAATCAGCGCTCCAGGTTCTGTGAGAGACACTGTCCCCCCCTCCACCACCCACCAAATAAGGTGAAGAGTAATAGAAAAATATTACATAAAGTGTCAACCTCTGCTGTCACACATGCACATACAAGGTGCACATACTTATACTCACAGCATATATACACATGTGTAGACACAGAGAGATAAAGTTTTCATACTTAATTATATACTTATGATGGTAATTATGTTGAAGTTAAATAGTCTTAATAGTATTCATATGTGAAATTTTAGTTAATATTTCAGTTGGTAGCCATTCTGTCTCCCAGTTAATAGAAGAAAGTATACAAGGTTCAGTTTATTTTTCTAGGTAGAACATCATTCTCACAGTAGGATTTAAGCAATATGCCAATCTATGGCATATTGGCAAATGACACTGCAGTAGAAAGCCATTTCCTTTAAGACTTTATAAAATATCACTTTGGTTTTATATATATATATATATATATAAATATATATATCATAGTATATGATATATATATCCTTGTAGTGTTCAAAATATTCCATATTCCTTGAAAAGTAACTTTGAAAGGATTTTTAACCAATAGCCACTGAGGGTAAAAACCATAAAAAGAAATGTAGCTAAGCTTTAGCAATTCTGTTACCTGTCTGATAATTATATTTTGCGTCTGGCTGAGTCTCCCTTTACTTGAAGTGCTGGAGTTCTACACACACACACACACACATGAATTGAAATATTTGAATCCAATAGGTATGTAATGTACACAATTTTAGAATCAGAATATTTACTATAATTAGAGACATATAATGCATATCAACTTCTTTGAAATTGTAAAATACATATAAAGCTTATTAAAGTGCTGCATTGTTCATAATTTTTTCTTCCATTAAAGTCCAGTTTTTCACATGTGATTTAAATATTGGGAAATAATGCAGATTGTTCTTTAGTTCTCTTATGTTTCTTTTTCTTTTTATTGTGTCTTTTTTTGAGATTAATGTAATTACATAAATTTCCCCTTCCCTTTCCTCCCTCCAAGCTCTCCCATATACACCCCTTTCCTTCCTTGCAAATTAGTGGCCTTTTTTCATTAATTGTGTGTGTGTGTGTGTGTGTGTGTGTGTGTGTGTGTGTGTGTGTGTGTGTGTTCAATCTGTATAATGCTATTTGTATGTTTTCAGGGTTGACCATTCAGTATGGGATAACCAATTGGTGTGCTCTTCCCTGAGGAAGACCATTTCTCCATCTTTTAGCTTTTGAGGCCCTTGGGCTTTACTCTCTCCACTTAGCATATCTATTGCCATTGTACTTGTTCAGCTCTTGTTTAGGCAGCCATGTTGGTGTGACTTTATGCATGTAGCTTCTGACATTACTATGGCCCTTAGTTCTTATTAAATTCCATAGGTCCATGAAGCATAGACCAACTTTCAGGCTCAACCCTATAATGTTAATGATTTGTTGTTTCTTGGGGGAAGAGTGTTAATTTATTTCCCAAGATTAATCCCTTTTACCTGGAGCTGATTACAGCCAGTGTTATTACTCTCAGTTCACACAGTTAGGTAATATACATGTAAAAACTGTGAGGGATGGTTAATTCCAATTCATCTTAAAAGTTTCTTATTATTTAAAGTATCAAACATACTAGGTCCCATGAACCTGGAAATACAGTGTATTGGCTTTTCTTCAGAGGATTTAATATGTAGTGTCTTAAGCACAACTCTAAAGATTATAGGAGGCAAAGATGGAAAGAAAACCTCAGTGTCTCTTGTGAAACTTTGCCATCCTTGAACTCACTGTAGACCAGGCTGGCACTGAATTTGCCATCTTCTGACATTAGCTTTCTAAGTGCTGAGATCACAGGTGCCAACATGCATGCTAGCTAATTAAGTATTTAAGTATATTTAAGGTGCATTTATTCTTATACATATATTTTTAGAAGTCAGTCACATCTGTCAATATTTTATTTTTAAGTGACTAGATGAAAATTTGTTTATGGAGTTGTTTTCCTAAATAGTCATGACTAATTTGCCCCATTACATCCAGTGGATTTGTATTCTGTCTTGAGTCTAATCAGGATTATCAATGATGTATTTATTTACTGGGAAGCAAGCCATCATTACAAAGAATATTCAAGGTAGGATTTATAGGTATCATGACATGAAAATATGAGACCATCATGATGAGTTGAGGCACTGTATTTCAAACAATAACGGGAAATTTTCATACATATATGTATATATATTATTTATATATTTTTGATTGTGAGCCTAGCCTTTATGGCTGAAACATCTCTCCAGCGAGATATCTATACTTTAAAATTAAGATAACATAAAAATTACTGTGCAGACACTGTTAGAAGCATGGATAGACTGTTAAGACATCCAAGGTTGAGGTGAGATTTGGCTAGCAGATACCTATGGCTGGGATGTCGTTTTACATTATTTTGTTCAGAGAAAGAGAAATGAATCAGAACTTTTAAGTGTCTTCTTTTCTGAAATATTCCAGAAAATTCATGTTCCAGATTGGGTTGGTATTTCCACTCTGAAAGTGTAGATGATGAAATCAAGGGCAGAGTTATGTCTTTTTTTTTTCCAGTAATGGCAAAGGAAAAAGATACAAACTTATTCTTGGTTTTGTTCTCAATAAAGCTTAAAAAAGAACTGAAAGAACTGATATTGAATTTTCATTTTTTCCTGGAAAAATATTACATGTATATGAAAAAGTTAAAATCTGTAATAATACACTTGGATTTCTTGAAAGTTGTCTTATAACTTTCCATACAGAGCCTGTGACATATTGTGGTATTCCCTAGTGATGATGATAATGATGGTGATGATGATAATAGTAAAATAAAAGATTCCAAAGGAAATAAAGATACATCTAAAATGTGCATATTGTTGAAGTATGCCCTCTCTTAGGATTTTTTCTCAGGTGCTAAAGGGATAGTTTGTTTTTGCATATCATTTTTATAAAATAAAATTATATATATATCATATCTATATCTAGTCAAAATAGATTTTAATATAAAAGGTTGTGATATATATTAATTCAACATAAGTATTGTTTAGCATCATTTGTCAGTAAAAGATGTGATGTCAAAATGGAGCCATTTGCTAACATGATATTTTAAAAATTGGATTTTTTTTATAAGACAGTAGTAGATAAGATGTTTTAAGATTATAGCAAGATTGCTTCCCCTTCCACCAGCTGCTGGGTGAAGGCTATGGGATGACATATAAGTCAGTCATCAATCTCATTATCAGGGGAGGGCATTTAAGGTAGCCTCTCAGACTGATAGCTGGGAAACCAGAATGGGACTGATCCAGACCCCATGAACATGGGTGTCAGTGAGGAGACCTTGGGAATTTATGGGGCCCCTTGTAGTGGATCAGTACTTATCCCTAGCATAGGAATAAACTCTGGGAGCCCATCCCACATAGAGGAATACTCCCTGAGCCTAGACACGCAGGGGTGGACCTAAGCCCTATCCCAGAGACATGACAGACTCTGAAGACCACCTATGGAAGACCTTACCCTCCCTGGGGAGAAGAAAGGGTATGGGATAGGTAGGGTGTTAGTTGGGGGTGTTGCAGGGGAGGCAGGGAGGCAGAGGGAACTGGGATTGACATGTAAAATAATCTTGTTTCTAATTTAAATAAAAATGGAGAGAAAGAAAAAAAGATTATAACAAGATTTTAAAGGGAATTTCATGAGGTAGGTAGTAGTTCAATAAATAGATTAATCAGTCCTAAATAAAATAAAGAACAATGACTGGCATGTTCTACAAATGTTGCAAAAAGCCCATTTCTGAGTAATTTTGGGGGATTTTAATATTTAATGTAAATGATCAGAAACAATTCAGTCAGTGAAGTGTGGGTACCACTAATGAAATTCTCATTCCTTAAGCAGATGTGTATGGTTGCCGATGAAGGTAAAGAACAAAGGAGACAGAGGGAAAGGGAGACAAGAAGAAGGAGGGACAGAGAGAGGGAAGGAAAATGAGAGAGGAGAAGGGAAGGGACAGTGGGGGGAGGAGGAGGTGGAGGAGAAGGAGGAGGGAAGGACAGGGGGAGGGGTGGGGAAAGAAGGGTGAGTGGAAGAAGAGGAAGAAGAAGGGGGGGAGAAGACTGAGAGACAGGAGACAAGGTGGAGGAGAAAATTCCATTGTTCTAACTTTTAGGGAGCCATGTCACACCTGGGATAAAAGCAGCTTTGAGTAGATTTCAGAGTTCAGCAGAGGTGCTCTGATCACGCACCATAGAAAACATCTACATACACAGAAATCAAATCAGCTAGATTCCATTTAAGCAAAACTCTGACAATTTCAGGTGAAGTCACTGAGAATGGGCCACAGAGGCAAGTGGCAAAACCATCATCAGTACAGATGTAACATATACTCCAGCAGACATTCACAGACTCTCCAGGGCCACGGTTTGCAGAATGCCAGCAACAACAAAAAATTATGCACAAGAAAAGTTCTGCCAATCCAAGGAGGCATTTGGAAAGGCTGAAGTTGGATTTGAAAGCACACCTTATCAAATGACACCAGTCGGTTCTCTCTTCCCTCTTGGAAGTGACCTAGTCTACACCACTGTCAGGTCAGTTACGTGGCACAGTACCTTTCGTTTGGCCTTCAGCTGCTCATGGTACTTGTCACAGGTGTCCCCTGGGATCTCTCCTCCCCAGAGAGTAATTCCAACTATGGTGTAGGTGACACCCATAATGAGCAATGGGAAACAGTACACCAGGATGATGACAATGATGTGGTACCTGCAGAGAAATACATATACACACACACTCTTAAGAATCCTTTGGAATGAAACACATGGGACTTAGAAATTGTTGAGCTTTAAATAACCATACAAATGCAGTTATTTTCACCTTATCACTATGTCTTCATTTCACAAAGCTATCAAAACAGCATATGAGCATTGTAACCTAGGGTCACAAGTCAAATGCTTTAATTGCCCATTTTCAACCTGTAATTTATGAATGGAAATTTGTAAATGAAGCCTTCTCTTAATTTATGCGTATTCCCTTCACTTAGAATCAAAGCTGAATACCACCACTCTGTGATCCTTTGTTTAGTAATTGCTGAGCTAAACTACTGAAATGAATCCTCAAAGGTAAGGGTGTAGGAGAGAGTAAGCCAGCCATGCTGTGTACATTATTCCACAAGAGACTTCTATTTATTCTTGTGACATCAGGCATTCATAAGATATTTTTTTCTTCTGCATGAAAAGAAGAATTAGGCACTCTGAGCCACTCTGTGCATTTCTTTTGATTTTAAAATAAGCCAGGTTAAAGACATTTGCATGCATAAACCAGGTTAAAGACATTTGCATGCATAAACCAGGTTAAAGACATTTGCATGCATAAACCAGGTTAAAGACATTTGCATGCATAAACCAGGTTAAAGACATTTGCATGCATAAACCAGGTTAAAGACATTTGCATGCATAAGCCAGGTTAAAGACATTTGCTTGCATGTCTCCACAATCATGGTCTATTCGATTGCATTATTAATTTGGATAACAAGCACATCCCGCGTGATAAACACAGTTTTACAAAGTGCTCAGTTTAAATCTGTGATTCCATACTTTTTCATCAAAGGGATAAGGACGTCTTCAGAGTGAAATGGAAGCATAATGTATATGATCCTGGCTCATACACAATTTTACACATTGTATGTGGTTTCTACTGTCTTTTGATGGCTTTAAATGAATGATTTTATAACTGTGGTTTGTCTTCTAAGATAAATTTAAAAAATTAATTTATTTACTTATTTTATAGTCAAGCTGCAGTTTTCCTTTCCTCCTCTCTTCCCAGTCCCTCCCCCCATCCCCATTTTGTTCCTACCCTCCAATCCCCTTCTTCTCTGTTCTGTTTAGGGAAGGCAGATCTCCCCATGAGTATCAACACGACATGACTATCAAGTTGCAGTAAGTCTGAGCAACTCCCCATGTATTAAGGTTGGGCAAGGAGACCCATATGAAGAGTAAGGTCCCAAAAGCATGTGAAAGAGTTGGAGACAGCCCTTGTTCCTCCTCCCCATGTATTAAGGTTGGGCAAGATGACTCATATGAGGAGTAAGGTCCCAAAAGCATGTGAAAGAGTTGGAGACAGCCCTTGTTCCTATTGTTAGGAGTCCCACAGAAGACTGAATTATAGGATACCTAGTCAGTCTCCTGCAGGCTCCCTGGTTGTCAGTTCAGTCTCTGTGAGCCCCCATGAGCCCAGGTTAGTTGATTCTGAGTCAAACACACCGTAAAATAAATGTTAAACCTCCTTGTCTATGTTCTTCCCTGCTACTAATTACTGATTTAAAATCAATGGGGAGGTGATTCAGAATGATAGCATGGTATAGCCAAGATCATTCATAATTAATAGGCAGATATGGCACAGCGTAATAACTCTGCTGCTTTCTGGTTAACAATGCTTTCTACTTGGTCAAGAGAGAAAACTGGGAATGAAAACTCCTAAAAAGAAGCCATGCCTAAATGACGGACTGGTTAGAATACTATGGAGAGACTGGAAAGTGGCAGGCCTAGAGGCTACTTACCTTACCTTGGGCTACTTCTAGCTCTCTGGAATAGCCAATCCCTGCCCAACTCTGTCTGCACTGACATCTTTTAACAGCTAGATGAAAATGAGTTGGCATCTATTAACCTAGCGGACCACTAGCTTCCACCAGCCTAAAAGCTAAAAATGTCATCAATAGCATCTTAGGTCTATAGAAAATTTTCCATCCATCTTTATGTACCTGCCTCTCTGATGTACCCACCGATATATTTTAAACTTGTCTTGATTTATGACTTTCTTTGTTCTGTAAAACTTAATGAAGCTGCTTCCACATTGGAAGGAACATGGCCCTTGGAGTAACCTAAATCTGTGTTCATGGTCGTGGTCACCTAGAACGGCTCCAGAATAAACTATCTCTTATTCCCTTAAAAAAAGTCTGCACTCTTGGGAGAGAAGAGTTGGATAAAATAACCTCACAGGAGGTGGCTGCGGGCCAGGCATGGCCACACAAGCCTTCAACCCCAACCCTTGGGAGGCAGAGGCAGGCATATCTTTTGGAGCTCAAGGCCAGCCAGGGATACATAGAAAGACCCTGTCTCAAAAGATTGATACTTGTTGGCAACATTTATTATTTTCAAATGTCATCAAAAATGGGAAAACAAACAAGTTCATTGAAATTTACAGGAACAGAAAAAAAATCAATTAGACAATTAGGTTGGTTTTCTCTTTTACTTTTTCAAGTTAGGTCTGAAATATGAAATCCCAATTCTGTCAAGCGGCATGCCTATTTCCTCTTTAGTTTACTGTCCAGGGCTTTTTATGCTGAAATGAACAAATACATACAAATGAAAGCAAAACAAAATTAAAACACCTGCCAGGACTTCCCTCCGGTCCAGCCATGCTTTCTAAAAGAGCAATCAACACATTGGCCTTTAGTTCCCATTTCTTAGTTCCCCAGTCAATAATACCCTGCTGTCTCTGATACATTGTTTCTAGCTTTTACCACACCCTTTTAGGAACAGCTAGTGCTTCTTCAACAGAAGCCATCACATCTCTAATTAAAACCCTTTATAGCTTACAAATCAACACATCACATGGCAGTGCATTTTTACATGTCCTTCTCTAAGTAATACAGGGGCCCTGAGGTGAGTGACTGTGTCCACACTGCATCATTTTTCTCCAGTTTTCATTTCCCAAAGTGGTTGATAGACTGAGTTGAAAATTGTCAAGGAGAATTAACTTACGTGAAATGTTGCTTGGGACCCTCGGGCCACTGCACATAGCAAAGAGTACGTCCTGGCATAACTTTTATTTTGGAATAAAGGCATTGAGGGAAGGCAAGTAGAAATGCCAAAATCCAAATACTCCCGATGACAATCTTGGTGGCCGTGGCAGACAATCTGGGTTTCAAAGGATCGATAATGGCCATATACCTATATGAAATAAAGAAGAGCATCTGTCATTTCCTTCGTTATTGGAATTTAAAATGGAACTTCAAAGGTGCTTTAGCTGCGTCTCAGAACTTAAGGTGAGAAGGATTTTGCATCAAGAGGTAGAACAGATAGATGGCAAGGACACTGTTTCAGGAATCGGCAGATCTGGGGTCAAATCCTATTCGGAGACTTGCTTAACCATTTGAAACTCAGCTTCATTATTTTTTAAAGCAGAAATAATAACACCCACACCTTAGGGGTGCAGGAAGGATCAATAGAAACAATATAAGTGGAAGTATTGATTACTTGGTGCTGTGCCTAGAACACTATCTGAATTCATAAATGTCTGTTGGATGGAACTGAAAAGATATCTACAGAAAGCCTGAAAATACAGGCTTATTACTGCAACAGATCCTTTTTCCTTTTCTGTTTCTTTTTTGTCAGTGTTGAGAGTGAAGCATGGGCCTCGCTGTGACCTCCACTCTCACTAAAGAAGCAAAAGAATTCAGGATTCAGCTGGGGTGACTATGTCAAGTTGGATAGAGATTTGGCTTCCATATTATTCAGGAAGTTGAATTTCTGTTGCACCACAGGAAAAATCCATGGTGTTTATTACATAATCATCCATAGCCTAAATTGGGAATGTGCCCTTGCAACTCACAGAGCACACTTCCACGTGGCTGTTGCAGTCCACTCTTTGGAATTTGGGAATTTTTTTCCAATATGGAAAGAAAGATCATTTTATTCTTACAGTCTAGATAGTACTTATGTATCTCGGGAAAACAATTTTAGCTTTAAATTGGATAAAATGTGGTTCGTTGCCAGATTTTGGATAGTGGTTAGAGAAACAATAATATTTATAAAATCATCTTAATTCATGTTTTCACCGACAAGCAAAACATATTGTTGTGTTTAATTTTCACTGTGGTTCATTTGAGCTATGCAAACGTAATTTTATTTATTTGTGTCTTTTAGAGATATTACTTCAGGTTTAGGGTAAATATTGATAAGGAGAAAATAGTATAGTATAGTATTGGCTAGTGCATGCACACACACACATATATATATACACACACAGAAGCAGAGGATAACAGTGGGAGGAGAAGAAAATTGGTAATTAATTTTTACTGGGCAGAAAGTTTCATTTATGCAAGAAATAATGTTCTAAGTATCTGTTTGACATAGAATCTGTAATGCTAAGTGATATTAGAAACTTGAAAATGTGTTAAGAGGCCAGATTTCATGTTCAGTGTTTCTACTACAAAAAAACAAAACAAAACAAAACAAAATTACATTCATGCTGTCCCTGCTGGAAGTTTTGGAGGTGTTGGATATATTTAGTAACTTGATTATTGTGGCTGTATCATGGTTAAATACATTTTCTCGAACCCATCAGATTGTGCATATATATGTATATATACACATATATATTTGTATATCAATTATTTAAGTTAATGAAGCTTAAAATGGAGAAATAAAAAATATAATTGTAAAATGGTAGTTGGTTAAGAAAACAAAGCGAGCTGTGCAAGACACACAGAGATAGAAGGCTACTTAAAATTCACCCCTCATATTCTTGATGATGAAGATAATACCACCAGTAATCACTGATTACTAACTATAGCCAACACTTCACCATGTTTATGTTCAAGCCTAAAATAACCACATCAATAAGTGATGCCATTAGATAGATTTTATAGAAAAGAAAATTGAGCTTTAAAGAGATTAAAATCATTCATAGTTGTATAAGAATAGAAAATCCTTATCAATCTTCCTTGGGGGTAACAGAAAGAAGTAGAATTATCGTATCTCCAGATATTCTGGTAGTTGTCAGAGTCCAAATAAACACAAACAACTGGTAGTCATGTTAAGACCACGAGGGAGGAGAAAACAGAGGTTAGATGGAACCTTACAGAGCATCAAAAGTAGCATCTTTATTCTCTAGATCCAGAAGCACAGTGTTAAACGCTGAGGTCAGACATGCAATAACAGGAACTGTGGCAAGCATGTTTTGTTCTCACTGCTGCTGCTTCTGAATTTCAACATATTTATCACAATATATTCAATTATGGCTTCATGGGTGTTTCCATACTTTGTCAATAAAGTATGCTGTACTACTGAACTGTGTATTACTCAATTATGTCACAATCTGTCTTTTCTGTAGCTCTAGAAGAGTGTAAGCATCATTTGGATATTGGATATCTATACAATTAATTGTTTTTATATGTTTAGAGTACTTTCTATGTCCTATAATACAGATAGGTTAAAACAAAGCTCCAAAGTTTTCACTGACTCCTTTCTATAGTTGTCCTAACTTTAAATAGATTATGTCCCAACAGGTATGCAGGATCGGTGTATATTCTCACAAAGCAGTATGAAATCTCAAAACTGTAAAAGGCTTATAAAATCTAATTTTTATTATTATTTGAACATGTGTGCATATAATATATGTACCAGAAGACAACTCTGTGCAGTCTGTTTTCTCTTTATGGATAGCACATGGGTTCTGAAGATTGAATTAAGGATCTAATTCAATTGGTTTGGAATGCATGGCTAACACTTTTACTTGCTGAACCATCATGTCAGCTCTTGGAACTTAAGGCATTTTTCTCCTTTCTGGTTTATTATTAAATTATTCAATGAAATATCAAGTTAATGCTTATTGTGGTATTCCAAACTGCTATATTGGGATAATATAGCAGTGAGCACAAATGCCATTTTAATTGCTCAAAGTCTATGAAACAGATACCAAATTAATCCATCTTCTATTGCTTTAAATAATAACTTGAATCTGGGAAATTTATAAAGAAGAAAAGTTTATATAGCTTATAGTGTTGGAGCTCAAAGACATAGCGCTGTAAGCAGCTAGTAAGAACTCCCTCATGGGGCAACTTGTGAAATCAGAGACCTCAGGGCAAGAAGGGCAGCAGCCATTGAGGGGCTGATCCTATTTTTGTCTCATCACCTTCTCTCAGACTTGAACTAACCATTTTCTACTATGCTCGCATGTAAAAGTTCTAGCACCCTTAATGTCTGTGTATTGAGAATTGAACTTTGAAGATATCAGCCTCTAGAGAACAGACAGTGTCTAAACCACAGCAGAATCCAATCAGATGACCTCACTAGGCATAAGTTACAAATGGGACAAATTCACAAAACAAGGCCAAGACAGTCCATTGATTGGTAGCATCATGTTTATATTGTATATTGAATGTCTCTAAAGAACACCATTCTGGGTTAAAACCATGAAGGATGAATAGACAGGATGGACTCTAACTAAATATCTCTGAGATCATAAAAATGGTGAAATATGGAAATATAGAGACATGGGCACATGGAAAAAACTTAATATTTAGGTTGGCGAATGATTGGTGAGAGACTGAGACAGTAAGTTACATGGAGCCTCTTTTGGTTTGTATTAGAGAGGATGTTTCAAGGATAGGGCCTGGTCACTGGCCACTGCATTTAGCTAACAGCTTGATGGAAGTAATGGAATGACAAGGTACAGAAGGGATACCCACTAGGACAAAAGCAGTTAAGTTTTCTGATTGCTGAAGACCAGTTTGGAACTGATTTTGTCACTTACACTTCCTGTCCTGTATCTTACCCCAACAATAATAACTTGCTCAGGAGTATGAATGGAGCAAATGCATGCTTAGGTTCATGGGAACAAAAATCTTCCTGACCTGAACAGACAGAAGATCATATATTTGCTATTTATAGATAATATGATAGTATAACAGAGAGACCCCAAGAATTCTACCCGGTAATAGCTGATAAACATATTAAGTAATATAATGGGATACAATATTAATTTAAAAAATTAGTAGCCCTCCTATATACAAATGGTAAACAGGCTGAGAAAGAAATAAGAGAAACATCACCATTTACAATAGCTATAAATAATATAAAACATCTTTGGATAACTCTAACAAAGCAAGTGAAAGACCTGCATGACAAGAACTTTAAATCTTTGAAGAAAGATACTGAAGAAGGTATCAGAAAATGGAAAGATCTCCCATGCTCTTGGATAGGTAGAATCAACATAATAAAAATGGGAATCTTACCAAAAGCAATCTACAGATTCAATGCAATCCTCATCAAAATCCCATCACAATTCTTCACAGACCTCACAAGAATAACACCCAACTTCAAAAAACCCCAGGATAGCTAAAACAATCCTGTACAAGAAAGGAACTTCTATAGTGCCATAGTCATAAAAATGGCTTGGTATTGGCATTAAAAACAGATACATGGACCAATGTAATCAGATTGAAGACCCTCATATTAACCCACACTCCTATGAACACCTGATTTTTGACAAAGAAGCTAAAATTATACAATGGAAACAAGAAAGCATCTTCAACAAATGGTGCTGGCATAACTGGATGCCAACATGTAGAAGACTGCAAACAGATCCATATCTGTCACCATGCACAAAACTCAAGTCCAAGTGGATCAAAGGCCTCAACAGAAATCCAGATGCACTGAACCAGATAGAAGAGAAAGTGGGAGGTAGCCTTGAATGCATTGGCACTGGAAACCACTTCCTGAACATAACACCAGCAGCACAGACACTCTTGATTAATAAATGGGACTTCAAAGCTTCTGTAAGGCAAAGCACATGGTAAATAAGACAAAATGACAGCTTACAGAATGGGGAAAGAACTTTATCCTAACAATTGTTAACAGCATATTCCTTTAAAGAACCCACACCTTTCATGTGAGTACCCTGGCCTCTCCTGGACACTTAGCTGAGGGGCAATGCCCCCACCCCAGTCTCTGTAGTGTGGATCTTTCTTAAGTGACAGCTAAAAGAGGCTTCTTCAGAATTCAGTTATTATTTTATTCTGTTCTAAAGGAGACAATTCTTACACTTATCCTTTGGACTCAGACTTCTATATACATCCTTGCTCTTCTAATACTTTTATTACCATCTTTATGCTATAACTAAGGGAGGCTTTTGTATTTACTTTGATTTTTTTCTGAAAATTAAACAT